ATCTGGACCATGGTGACTCTAACCTTTCCCTGCCCATCTCTTCAGCAACTGGGGACTGGGAAATCTGCTTGAGACCCCTGCAATGAGGCAGACAGGGTCTTCCTCCCTCACTTTTGGTGAGTGATGTTTAGGAAGTGATGTTTAGGAAGGGCTGGCCACTGTGATTAGCACTGCTGCACCATGACATGATACCCCAATGTGACCCTCACTGAGGGGGCTCGAAGCCTTCTTCTATGTGGTGGCCTGGCTTATGTGTCAGGAGTGGGGCAAATGTCCACCTGATTTCAGCAGACCACCAATTCCTCCATTAGAGGAGGGGGTCGCATTGCACTACATCCTTCTTAAACTTCTTACTAGCTCTGACACGCACTGTCCAATATGGAGGCTACTAGCCTCCTGTGATACCTGATTGGACAACAGGGATATGGAACACTTCTTTCATCACAGGACGTTCTACTGGACAGTTCTTCTTTAGAAGAACTGGGGATTAGCCAATCCCTCACCCCATAGGCCAAGTATTGCAGGAATTACTGAGATGACTAAGAAATAACCCAGCTCCCAAAGAACTCAATCATTCATTCATCATATATTAATCAAAGACCTCCTAGGTGCCGGTAGGATGTTGTGATAACCAAGATGGACATGTTCCCTGCCTTCACAGAACTTCCTGTCGTTCAGGTGGACAATTGTCTTCTGTAACAGAGACTCAAAGTAATATTGGCTTAAACATGCTAGACTTTTGTTTTTCTGTCCTGGAAAGCCCACACTGGTGAGACAGTTCTGCTCTGGGAGGCTGTGTAGGCGTGTTTCTTCTACCTTATCGTGTCCAGCCCCTCCCCACCATTCCAATAGCACTGCCCTTGTCTTCCTGCCTGCAGTCCAGCCAGTAGAGGCAGGAATGTGGGAGGAGGCATGCTCCTCACTTTCACTGGGAACTCAGCATGGACAGCCAGCACTCCTGCACACACCCTACCGGCCAGCTGTAAAGGAAATGCAAGCTTCTTTGGAGCAACTCTGTGCTCTGCTAAAACTGGGAGTTCTGGGGAGGGGAGAAAGGATATCTGAGGACTGGCAATCTTTGACACAGAGTGACAAGTATGAAGGAAATGAACACACACGTGAATGGGTAACCTTGAGAAATGCTTTGAAACAGAGGTACATAGTATTGGGAGAGCATATAAAGGAGGCCAGGAAGGTTTCTCTGAGGAAGTGACATTTGCAATATGATACAGAAAACGAGTAGGAGCTGATGGGGAAGAATGGGTGAGGGTGTTCCCAAAAAGACAGCAGGGGTGCAGTGCTCTATGGTCAGGGAGAGCATCGAACACTCAGGAAAACCCCTGGTCTCTGAGAGGACACATAGGATTCTCCCTGAAACCAGTGGCTGATGTCCCTGAGGATGGCCCCAAGGAAGGAGCCCTGTGGGGCTGAGAGTCAGAGATGTCGGTTCTGTTCCAGGAACTTGTCCAAGGTTCTGTATGTATTAATTAATTTCATCCTTGAACAATCTATGAGGTAGCTGCCTGTGCCAATTTTTGTCTTCAGAGAAGTGGATGGAATGAGACATGCAAGAGGCTTTTGGGGGAAACACCCATGGAGGATGAGAGGAGGAAGTGGGAGCAGGAGCAGGTGGGAGAGACTCAGCCCAGGTGCAGGGCTGGCACCTGAGAAAGCAGAATGTGGAAGGAGGGAGGACTAAGAAGAAGAGACTCAGACTACAGTGCAGCCTGGAGACATCTTGTCCACACTTGTGGGGAGCCCCAGAGCCCAGACTGCCCATGGGGGCCCTGGGTCAGGCCGGAGTGGTGGCTGCAGCACCTACTGCACCGTCCTTGGCTTGGATCTGAAGGTGAAGTCGCTGGAGGCTGTCAGCCAGCAATGTCCCCATAGCAGCCTTTAAGAGGGACTGAGTGGGACACCTCTGTGGCTGAGGCATTATACAGCTGTTGTCCCATTTGATAGACAGGAAATAGTGGTAAGGAAGGGAAGACATTTCATCTAGCATTGATTGACTAAGAGGTGGGAGGACCAGGCCACCATACACACAGCTCCATGAGGTGGAGAACCAGGATGCTTCCGAGTCTGGAAATTGTGGCAGGTACCAGAGAGACCGCCCTTCATGACAGATGAAGAAAAGGGAAGCCAAGGGGCCCTGTGTCTCCCAGAGCTGTACCTGTGTGCGTAGCCCTAAAACAGGAAACGCGGCAGCTCTTGCCCCAAACTGAGCCCCACTTCTGTCCCTGGACCTTTGCTACTAGTCAGGGCTCAGGGGACAGGCTCCTGGAACTCAGGCTCTGTTCTGGTTTCTTCTTGACAGCCATGTTCTCAGGGCCCTGGGCTAATGTCCCTCAGAGCTATGTGTACCTAGGGCTGGAGGCCTGGGGCCCGGGCATCAGCTGTGCTCCCCAGAGCGGGGACAAACTGGCCTCTTGCCTACACATAAACTCCAGGGACTGGCTTGATGGGGAAAGAGTCCAGGACCCCACCTGTGGACCCCGCCACAGTGTATTTTTTACCCAGTCCCTAACCACCTCCATGGCCTTCTCCTTCTGCCTGCCTACTCCTAGCTCCTACCTCAAAACCATTTCCTGAGCCCATAACAGATGGGGTCTCCTTAGCACCCTAGCCCTTTGCTGATCAGAAGAGATGGACGCTGGCCAGAGACCCCCTGAGGCTTAGCTGTAGGACATGGGAACGAAGAGTGGGAGGATTTGTTGCTTCCTATCTGAGAAGGGGGAGGAGAAATCAGTTACTGCAGGAGGTCACAGGGCTTGATGGCCTCAGGTGGTCCCTTTGTGCTCAAATCACTGGGCCACTTAATGGGGCCCTTTAACTGCTCCCTGGCTGAGGGAAGGCTGGGCTCAGATCCTGGGGCAGGTGTGAGTTGAAGGAAAGGCTGGAGGTCATGGGGGGCGGCAGGGAGGGTGTAGGCATGGATATATGAGACATGATGAGGCCAAGATCACTGACTACAATGCGGTGGGACAATGCCAGCCCTTCAGGAACTTCTTCAAAGACTCACTATCAATCTATTAGAAGCTTTAGAAAGACAGAGCAGAAATGATCTCTTTGTTCAGTTGACAGATATTTCTGGAGTGTCCTAGGTTCTGGGGATATAGCAGTGAAGAAAAAATCCAAATCCATGTTCTTAAGGAGCTTGTCTGCTAGTAGGCAATAAACAAATAAGTGAAGAATATAAAACAAGGACCACAAAATAAACCAAGGCCAGAGAACAGAGAGCAGTGGAAGTGCTATTTTAGATGGGGTGGTCCAGGAAGGCATCTATGATAGGCTGGCATTTGAGCAGAGGCCCTAATAAGTGAGTGAGCAATCCATGCAGATATCTAGGGGCAAAGGAAAAGAAATGATTGATGAAAATTTGCCTGAATTGAAGAAAGACTCAAGTTTTGAGGTTAAAAGGATACATCAAGCATAAAATAAGAATAAGAAAGAGACAAAAGTCCAGAGTTAGAAGCATCTTGGTAAAATGTGGGAAATCTAATGACAGAGGAAAGACCCACACCCTCCAAAAAATACCAGACCCAAATGGTCTTATAGGCAAGGTCATAAAATATTTAAACACATAGCTTATATCTTTTTAAGGCCCCCTTCTATGCATAATGATGTAGAAGTAGGGAAGGAATTAATTTGGAGGGCAAGCATATTAGAAGTTTTCACCACTGAAGAGAAATTATTTTTTTCTTTCCCATCTCTGTTTTGAAGAGCACCACCTGGCTTCTTTCTCTTCTTCTTGGCAAGGAATTCCAGTAACAGATTCTGCCCACTATATTGGAGAGTTTTTCTCCCTAAATAAGGCCTGGGTAAATGCTGTCTAGCTACTCCGGTGAACCTTCAGCTGCTTAGGCTGTCAGTGTCCCCATTCACGCATCCATTTATTCATTTATTTACTCAACACAAGTTTATGGAGCCCCTACTATGTTCCGGGCACTGTGCATGAAGGACAGGCATGTGAGACCTGATCTGTCTAGGCTGGAGGTGGGAGATAAGGTTGGTATGGGACTATGTCCCCAAGAAAGTTAAGTGTGAGATATTTTCTGAAGGATGTATAGAGTCAACCAGGCCAAGGTGGGTGCTGGAGGGAGGGGGAGAATGAATCAGGTAGGAGGCACCCTGTACAAAGGCAATCCCTGGAAACTAGCTTGGGGGTATTCAGGATCTCTTTTGGAAAAATTGCTCTTCTAATTCCTCCAGTGACCAATTCCTTTACCTGTTTGGGGTAGGTTCCTTAGTCCTATTTAATTTCTCTCAAGTGAATCCTGCTTGCTTTAAGTCTCTCAGAAATTAGTTAATTAAATAATTGAGCACTTACTGTAGGCTTGGTGCTGAAGATGAAAGGGAACAAATGGGCAGAAATCACTGCTTTGTGGGCTTGCATTCTATTGGAGGATGCAAAAAGCACATCAAATTTAAAATACATAGTACATTATCAGGGAACAAGCACCAAGAAGGAAAGTTAAACAGGACACAGGAATAGGAAATATTAGAGAGGGTGTTAACTTTTTTTTTTTTAAGATTTTTATTGGGGAATTGGGGGAAGGGAACAGCGTTGGGGAATTGGGGGAAGGGGAACAGACAAGTGCCGTCCTTTTGTTCTTCAGTCTAGTTGTGGAGGATGTTGCTTCACTGGCCCATGTTGGTATTATCATTGCGCACTTCCCGGGTGAGGCAGATCGGTCGCTGGCCTCTGGATGGCCACTCACAGCGGCTGTTTGCAGCTCATACCGGCTGCTGGCTGCTCACGCTGGCTGCTGGCCACACACGGTAGCTTATGGCAGCCCACTGCAGCAGGGGCTGCAGCCTACGCCATCACCGGTGACTCACGGCAGCCCAGCTCCAGGTTGAGCTGTTGTTCAGCATCTTAGCTGTGGAGGGCAGTGTCACTGGCCCTCATATGTGGGATCCGAACTGGGGCCCTCTGGCGTCCCAAGCCAGTTCTTAATCAACGCGCCACTCGGCCGGCCCTACAACACAAAATTTAAAACAACACAACAAACATTCTAAATGGTGATTCTAAACCAAGAGCGCAAATTTGTAGGTAGTGAAATAAAGGTCATTATTTTGGATAGATCAAAGTTCTTGATGTCAGCTCCAATAACTGGAAAAGTTTCCCCTTTCATATTAGATTGAGAAATGCAAACAAGGGTATTTTCCTTCCAAAAGAGAGAGAAATAAAGTAAGAAGCAACAGTAAGTAAAAGAGTTGTACAGGCCTGGTCTTGTCTTTTTGGGAAAGCTATCTCCTTCAGAGGCCACCTGCTTCAATTTTTGCTAGCTTTAATTTCATGTCACCATACTGTGTTCAGTTCCAATGACGGTTTGGTTCCTTCTTTAAATGTGACACACGTGTATCCAAGAGTCTACTCCCTGGAGTTTAGAAGCACAGGAATTAGTCAACTGTACCTGATAGGGGCCTTCCAGCGAAGCTGGAGGAATTTGTTTGCTTGTTTTTTGGTGTCTCTTGCACCCAAAAGTTGTTGATCTGAGATTTAAAAGGATCAATGGCTAAGCTTTTGGCCAAGGTATTTGGAGGGTCTCTATACATTTTGCTAATTGAATCTTTTTTTTTTTTTAAAATTTTATTTGGGGATTTGGGGGGAGGAAAAAGGGTTGGGAATTTGGGGAAGGGGGAACGACCAAGTTGTGTCCTTTTGTTCTTCAGTCTAGTTGTGGAGGATGTTGCTTCACTGGCCCATGTTGGTATTATCATTGCGCACTTCCCGGGTGAGGCAGATCGGTCGCTGGCCTCTGGATGGCCACTCACAGCGGCTGTTTGCAGCTCATACCGGCTGCCAGCTGCTCACGCTGGCTGCTGGCCACACACGGTAGCTTATGGCAGCCCACTGCAGCAGGGGCTGCAGCCTACACCGTCTCCAGTGACTCATGGCAGCCCAGCTCCAGGTCAAGCTGTTGTTCATTATCTTAGCTATAGAGGGCACAGCATCACTGGCCCTCATATAGGATCCTAACCAGGGCCCTGCTGCTCAGAGCTGGCGTCCCAAGCCAGCTCTTAACCAACGCGCCACTTGGCCGTCCCTAATTGAATCTTAATAATGCAGTTAGTGCGTTCAACTAAACCTGGAAATTGAGGGTCATAAGTGCAATGAAAATAAAAAACTGGCCAAACAACACAGACTTGTGAAAGCCCATGACCAGTAAAATGGGTTCTTCCATCACTATGGAGTTTGAGAGGGGTGTCCCAGGGAGGGATAATCTTTTCTAACAGGACTTTAGCCACAGAAGAGGCAATAACCTGTCTAAAAAGGAAATCTTCAGTCTAGTGAGAAAACTTACAGATCATGACTAAAACATATTTATATCCATGAGATGGGGGAAGCTGTGTGATTTCTATTTGTCAAACCTCAAATGGCACATTAGACAATTGAAAGTGTCCATGAATAGGCTTCCCTGGGCTGGACTTTGGACAAGCAGGACAAGTGAGATAGGCACTTTTCATGGCTTTATTAATATTTCCCCACCAATATTGATTCACGAATGCAATCATTTTGTCAGTGGACCAATGGTTTAATGCATGTCCAGTAGATAAAGCACACACTTTAGAGACTCAGGTAGGACTAGGTTGTTATTGGATCTGAACCAGAGCTTTCTCTTTTTATCAAACCAACAATTGTTGGATTTCCAATCTTGTTTTTCTTTTTCTGAAGCCAAAAAACTGGCTTCTCTGGGTAGTTTTTATAAGTTATCTGCTAGGGAAATACCCCTTTGGACTATGACAGAGGCTTGACTGCTGTTGGTTCCTTTAAGGGCAGTACTCCTTATAGAAGTGTCAGCAAGGTGATTTCCCTTAGCTTCCAGAGAGTCAAGTTTAGAATACCCTGGAGTCTTAATAATAGCTAAAGCAGCAGGTAAAAGTATAGCATCCAATAATTCCTGAACATATTGGCCATTTTAAATTTTATTTCCACTGGGAGTAAGAAAGCCATGTTGTTTTTATAACATTCGAAAGTCATGAACTACTTCAAAGGCATGTCTACTGTCATTATAAATGTTGGCAGTTTTGCCCTTGGCTAAAATACAATCCTAGGTGAGAGGATAATTCAGCCTGCTGGGCTAAATTAGCCAAAGGTAAAGATGCTGCCTTTATGACTTCAAAAAGGGTTACAACAGCATAACCAGCACAGTGCTTTCCATTTTTATTTTGAAAATATGAACCACTTGTAAACCATAAGAAATCAGCTTTACCCAAAGCAGTCTCCTCCAGTTCATCACGAGGGGTCAGGAGGTGATCTGTCAGTGTCAATCAGTCATGAGAGTCTTTGTTGATATCAGAGAGAAGAGTAGCTAGATTAATGTTGTTATGACATGAAAGAGTGATGTGAGGAGAATTTAACAAAAGGACTTCATAGGAAGCCAGGCAACTAACTGAAATCCTGAGTGTGATGAGACAGGAGGGTTTCTACTGCACGGGATACAAAGATGGCTAAAGGGGGGGGGGGTCCCACAAAAATTTCCTCTGTGGCCTTAACCAAAAGGACAGTGGCAGTAATGGCTCTAAGGCAAGGAAGGTATCTCCGTGCCACATGCTCCAGTTGCTGACTGTAATACCCCAAAGGCCTATGGTGGTCCCCATGTTGTTGAGTGAGTACCCCATGGCTATATATATATATATATATATATATATATAGAAAGAGAGAGAGAGAGAGAGAGAGAGAGAGAGAGAGAGAGAGAGAGAATCTGATAATTGAGATGCTCCCAAACAGTTGGATT